TTGCATAATATTTTATTTTAATAAATTATACATATACCTATAATTGTTTTAGTCGTGTGTCATTATTTTAGTCTAATGTATCAAAAATTATGATCAGTACCTGCGTATTTCATTAACTCGGCAGTATTCATGCTCGGAAGTGCAAAGTTATGTAAAGACTAACGTTACATACGTGAATCCTTCCATGCGTGATGTATATCCTATATTGCTTGATAGATACTTTAACTATCGCGTGTCACTTCAATTAAGCTTAGCGTATTCCGTGGACATTTTATAATGTGTATAGAATCGTAAATATTGCAAGTGACGACATGTTGTAGTTGTCAGGTGCATTTCGATCTCATCGAAAATTGAAAATGGATAGGGGATGAAATGAGTAATACGGATCGACGTGTGACAGCAGGGCCGCAGTTGTAAACTTCTACATTTATTTAAATGTCATCTGAACGTTATTTTCATCACAAAGCAATCAAATTGATATAAATTCGTCGAAAATGGGACGTGAATTAATTGATCACGTATTTAATATGACAAATATAGTACATCGTAATAAATTGGATTAGCTAAAAATGAGAATATTATTTTGTCTATTACAATTTTAGAATTTTCTTTTAATAGCATTATTTTTCTGTATGTAAATGTGATCGTCATGAATATTCGTAGCTAGTAATATGTAATCTTGTTTTGAGAGTACTCTATTTCTTTGTTTTTGTCTCTGGAAATCAGAATATGCCGTCCCTGTTGTCCCTTCGTACATCTGAAGTTTATGAAGTTGTGCGTGATGCACACAATGTTACAACCGTCACGCAAGAACCATAGTCGCAAAAGTTTTTGCGCCAGTAGGGTTTAGAATTTTAATACCATTCTTCTCTCATATCCCTTCTCTACATTTTGAGCAACGTTGAAGCATGCGCATGCCGCGGGATTGTGTGTTCTATCATCAACACAGCCTATAATACTATAGTGCTTTGCGGATCGGAGATGAACACATCGCGCGTGAAGTTCGGTGATGAGAACACCATTGATTTTTCTTATTCTCTCTTGTATCATTATAGGTAAATTTACCAGACATTGTGTATGTCCTTTTGTAGTTAACACTGTACATACACATAATATACATTATTAATAATAATATTATTATTAATAATAACTAATAAATGCTAAACATGTGCTATTTTTTCAATATTTAATTAATTTTTACTAACAAGTATTAAAGAATATATATACATATATATTTATGACAGATATATCTATCGCTGTATTTATAGAAATAATTACATGGAAATCTCTGAGATTTATTCAGCATTTATTCTTAATATTTTATTCTACTATTTTTACTACTTGATCTCGTTCTTGATTAAGCGTAAGGATTTAATATTTTGATATTGAAGTTTTTTACCGTTTTATCTCTTTATCATAATCTTGTCTTATAACTAGTCTTATATAACTAGTTGCGATTAAACTCGATTGTCTATGTGTCGGCTACAATTGATTTTGATCCCAATTATTAATTGGAATTCTGCTTGATAAGTTTAATTTCAGTTTAACTTTAGTTTAAGTTTAATTTTTGCTTCGAAAATCCATGAATTAGTCCATTATATTCTAAAAGAATCTTATGTGCTTTTCTGTTTTAAATTCTTGTAACTCAGGGTACTAATTAAAATTTTTAGACCACAATTGGTATTTAAATATAAAAAAGTTGTTCTTTCTGAAAATCTAATCGATAATACCTAATGATAAGGTGGAATGTTTGAAAAAAAGATATAAAAATTGAAATTGGAGGTAAAAAAAGGAAGTGACATTCCTGTTTCTTCTTTTTACTGTCAAATGAAAATAATAAATGATTTTGTTAATCTTGTTTTAGTAGAATAAATAAAATATTAATTATAAATTATTCAAATCGAATTATACAAGGCCATAGAACGATTATCATAAACGAAATAATATTATAAAATAATAAAATAGTACACTATTATATACTCCGCGTTACAATTTCTATTTGTGTTTTTATCTTTTTACAGTTTAGCTTTAATAATTTTTTATTTAAATCTGTAGGAATATATTTTTACGACTTTAAAATATATTGAGAAATTAAAGATTCTATACATAAAAAATGTTTAGATATTATTATTAATAAAATATATATACTTCTAATACCTCTTATTATAGTATTAGTAAAAATTTTTTTATTAAATTCCATAATTATTAATTAAAATAATTTGATTGACATTAAGTAATTAATTAAATAACTTGTTAAATTAATAACTTATTGTTCAGTCGAAAGGAACATGTAAAAGAAAATTTTCAAATAAATTTTAAGCTAGCTTCTTTTTGCAGGCGTAATAACGAAAATTCAATAACAGCTATATAAATGATGTACATTAATAACATTATATAATAAAAAATATACATTTGCTCAATGATCTTTATTAAGTATTAAAAAGATGCTATATATATATAAAGAAGGAAATTAGAGTGACATTTTTTGTCGGATCCAACCCAAGAAGGGGTAGACACCGGTGTACACATCTGGAACACCTTGGGCGCACGGTTTTCCACCAGATACCAGACCGCAAAGTGTTCTGTCACTGTTTCGAATCAGTCCGCTACCGCTGTCACCCTGAAACAGAAAAGTGGATTATTTCTTATTATAGAAATTATTGATATACGACTGAGATTGATAATATCTTTCACATTACGGTGAATATAAAATTGATATTATTTAAGACGGCATAATTCCAGTAAGTTATGCATTTCTATAAACAAGATGATAAATAGAGAAATGAAGTATATAAGAATTCTTTCTCTCTCTCTTGAGAGTCAATGCTATTATAAATATAAATTAATTACAACGTAAAATATTATCCTGCACAAGATAAAGGATGTGATAATGTAACACGATGTTTGGTACAGCGTTGTAATTGAGCAAGAAGTTACAAAATGTACAGACAGAAAATATTAAATATGAAAGGACGTGCAACAATGAAATCGGATATGCATTCGGACATTTTGTGAGATATAATATAATGTTACATACATTGCACAATCCAGTTCCGTAGGTGATAAGAGTACACATTTCGGTTTGGTGAATTCTCATGAAACCTTGATGATAAGTCTGGCATGTGCTCGGAAGCATGCATTTCGCATTCAGTTTCTGCAAATTGTTATGTGTGGGTTGTCTATAGCCCGTAGAACCCCAGGCAGCAATCGTAACAGCTTCATTCTCTGCAATATCCCTTGTTGGAAGATTAATTGGTTGTTGTCTTTGGTTAAACCGAATGGGGTTAGCCAGCTAAAAATATTTTATACTAATGAGCCAAACTGTAAGAGTAATTCAAGTACATCTTTTTTTATTTATAAAGCCTTAAAGTGTATCATGCTTTGTATCATTACTATAATAATAGAAAGCATTAAACAAATCACAAATGTATTCCAAGCTAATATAATGTTATAATAATATACTATATATACACGATAATGTATGTTAGACTATTTCAAGATTGTACCTTCATCAAACCGATGTCATAAGGGCCTCTGCCCGAAGGATCGTTGGGGTTGTACTTTTCATGAACCCACATACTTGCTACCTGATGTTGAACTCCACCCGAATTAAGCTGGGTCGTGCCAGAAACAATGGTTAACGATCGCCTCATACCGGCATTCTGCATTAGAGACACCAGGCAATGTGCGGCAGTTATAATATGAGATGGACTGATTATGCTACCGCCACATATATGATTGTTCTGGACTCTTATGGAGATACAATGCGGATTCTCATCTATAGTGGTCGGTATTCCATTTACTAACTTGTCCGGTTCATCGCCATAAACACCTGCGAATGTATAGTAAAAGTGGCGTCTAAACGTCATACAATGCGCTAACAATATTTTCAGAAATTCTTTAATGCATGACACAGTGCTGATTAATGAATATAAAATTACAAAAACCGTATGTCATATCAAAACGTTATTATAATTATTGTCAATCTAAATCATTTACACGTCCATGACACACTTATAGCCAAGAAAAAAAATTCTTGTAAATTTTTTATTTTAAATTTTATGCTATTTTTATATCTTTTGTGATATAAGAAGGAACATGTGTAATAGAATTTATCTCTAATTTTTATAAAATTTGTAAAATAAACAGAATAAAACTAATAAATATAATAGGAATAATAAAATAACACAATGAAAACAATAAAATTAATAAATACAATGAGAACATAACAGTTTACAAAATTAAACATTTTATAAAATGCACATTATACAATTATGAAATTTATATGCACAGATTTTATAATATAAAAATCGAAATATAAGGCATAATGCTTTTACAAAGTAAATGTATCAATAAAAATTAATTATGTGTAATTTATAAAATTGTTACAGAAACTATCACCAAGTTTCTGATAATTA